TATGTAGTCTAGAGTTTGTTGGTTGGCTAGTTTAACAATCGAATCAATGTGTTAGATGGCTTGGATGTAGTCTGGAGTTCGTTGGTTGGCTAGTTTAACAATTGAATCAATGAACATCAAATAAGCTGTTCCGAACAAGCTATTGACGTTTTGCGTTTTTTGTTTTGTTCAATAAATTGTTCTCTTTTATTAATGTTTATTGAATAATTTAAAATCCTCGTGATAAATGGCTTGGATGTAATCTAGAGTTTGTTGATTGGCTAGAACTTTTTGCTTCAACTTTCGACTTCGTGATGAGTTGTTTTTCGAGTTGACAGTGGTGGATTTAAGAACGTGATGAAGGGCCTAGAAAAAGAGATTATTCTAAATAAGTTAACGAGAACAATACTTTAGAACAAACAAAAGAATACTAAAGAACAAACAAACAACAACAACAAAGGACTTTTTTTGTTTGAACTGGTAGTACAGTACAGTACAAGTACCTCTAAGCGATTGTAGTGATTATTGTTGGTTTAGATATAATCTTTATTACAGCGATAATAGTTGGTTGGTTGGTTGGTTCAGTGGTTTGAGATTGGGAGAATATGTGAATATCACTAGAGTAGAGACACTCCACGGCACACGTCGGCAGCTCGTTCACATTGCTTTTATACGGAACTCAGGCGTTGGTCTCGTCTTGCACACAATGGAGTTGAACGGATAGCGACGCATATTAAATCTCGCACAATAGGCGTTCGTCCACATAGGTGCCTAGCTGGCCTAGCTGGCCTAGCTGACCACATAGGTGCCTAGCTGGCCTAGCTGACCACATAGGTGCCTAGCTGGCCTAGCTGGCCTAGCTGACCACATAGGTGCCTAGCTGGCCTAGCTGGCCTAGCTGACCACATAGGTGCCTAGCTGGCCTAGCTGGCCACATAGGTGCCTAGCTGGCCATTTCCATACGTGGCGATCTCGATCACGAGATCGTCACGACAGCGATTAATCTCGAAATAATGAAATTCATATCTTTAAATGTTGACATTACTTTTGATCAACATCTATAAAGTTTTCTCTTTTTCCTTTAGCCAAATCATTTACCTAAAATCTATATTTAAACAGCTTGTTAGATGCAGCTATCAGCTTGTTTAAATTACAAATTCCGTAATCATTCTAATAGAAGCCCCAGTCGCAATTACCACAGCTACTGATGGCTCTGAAGATGGTATCATTCATTGCTTCAAAAAAGAAGGACCGATTCCTGAAGGCGCAACACTTCTCGCCAATGCTCGTCTCGAACAATCGATCAAAGGAGTAGAGTCGCGTAGTCTACCAACGTTTTGCAAAGTCAATAAAGTCAATTTTCCCAGCCCCTAGCGCTTTTTTCAATTATGGTTCCAAAAAATACTAGATTAAAAACTCTATCATTTGACATCAAAACACACACATTGTATCATAAAGGAACACGGAGAACGAAGCGTGTAAAGTTAGACTACACGGCAATACCCCTGCACCCACCTTGTATCATAAAGGAACACGGAGAACGAAGCGTGTAAAGTTAGACTACGCGGCAATACCCCTGCACCCACCTTGTTCGCAACATTTGTCGGTATTTTTGCCTTCTTGAACACTCTCATCATTTCTCGTCTCATTTTTCGCTTATTATGAGTGAAATGGATGATTTCAATCGGTTCTTTGAAAGCATTACAATAACTAAAAGCAAAATTTTCGAATTTCTTTCCAAAACTAATAAACCTTGACTGTGGGAAAGCATGATGATTCAACGTTTTTGCGATTTTTCCTTTTAGCTTTAGGTTCTTCTTTCGAATCTCGTAGATCCACCGGGCGAATCCGTGAATGTCACGATTTTGGCAAATTTTGAGAGAACTAAAAGAGAGTTTTACTTTTCGTTGCTCGAAATTCTTTCACTTTTATATTTACTTTCATACTTTGAAAGTACTTTTAAAGAAATGCTTTGAAAGTACTTTTTTAAAAAATACGAGGGTGGCTACTCTGTGCCAAGTTGTTTTTTGCGCAACAGGGCCATTTGCGTAACTGGGTCCTTTGCGCAACTAGGTCTTTCGCGCAACTCACCATAACTTCCTTCCAAGTCGGCCAATCTTTATGATTTTGGTGTCATTTTGTAGATCTCAATAAGTGCAACAAAATGAAACCAAAATCATAAAGATTGGCCGACTTGGAAGGAAGTTATGGCGAGTTGCGCAAATGATCCAGTTACGCAAATGACCCAATTGCGCAAAAAATTTGGCACAAAGTAGCCACCCCCAAAAATACTTTAAAAATACTTTAAAAATACTTTTAAAGTACTTTCACTTTAATATCTTTTAATGAATATCTCTTAGTTTAGTGGAGAAAATTCAAAGAAATAGGCAGTTACGGAGCGCCGCTCCGATTCTGCGTCAATTTTTCCGTAGCTGCCTCTTTTATTTGAAATTTCTCACGAAACTAGAAGCTATTCAGCTGAAAGTATATCACTCACTCACAAAAATGTCCATACAATGAAACAAAACGATCGATTGGATGGCGAATGATCGTGAATTTAATAGGAAATATGGGGCGAGACCATTTTGAGACAAAGCGATTTCGGTAGAGATTGTTTTTAGTGCATTCACTGGAAAATTTCATCTACAATATTCTACATTCATCCACAATTGTCTAGAATTCATCTACAATAGTCTACAATAATCTACATTCATCTACAATAGTCTACAATAATCTACATTCATCTACAATAGTCTACAATTCATCTACAATATTCTACATTCATCTACAATTGTCTAGAATTCATCTACAATAATCTACATCCATCTACAATAATCTACATCCATCTACAATATTCTACACTCATCTACAATATCTAATAATAGATTCACAGTTTTCAAATAACTTATACCATTTTCATCATCAATTGAATCTTTTTCCAGAATACTTTCCTACAAACGGCTTCTCTTTTACGGTGTGTTCTTGCTGTACAAAAGCTTAGCGCCTAAACGAATCCTTTCTGGCACAATAAAAAGGGGGAGATTGATTGGAAAGTGCTCTTTTGTTTCTTGTTTCTGGATTAGTTGCTTTCTTTTTTGTTCAATCAGTAAAAAGTTTTTCATTCCATCAATTGAAAAGATTAAATTTGTAACGAAAACATTTGCCGCTTCTTTTTTGCCGTTAGCAAAAGGTTTTTCATCTTTTTTTCTCAGCATAAACCCTTCAATTTTGACTATTTAAATTATCATTCGATACAGAATAAAATAGCGCATCGAATGCGTACCAAGAACATGAACTCAGTTAAATTTGAAAGTTATTGAATGAATTTTAAAGTTATTCAATGAATTTTAAAGTTATTGAATGAATTTTAAAGTTATTCAATGAATTTTAAAGTTATTGAATGAATTTTAAAGTTACTGAATGAATTTTAAAGTGATTCAATGAATTTTGACTATTTAAACTATCATCCGATACAGAATAAAATAGCGCATCGAATGCGCACCAAGAACATGAACTCAGTTAAATTTAAAAGTTATTCAATGAATTTTAAAGTTATTCAATGAATTTAAAAAGTTGTTTCCACTCACTTCTCCCCAATGATCGTTTTTGAGAAGTGCTGTCTATAGGGAATTGCCTTGTAATCCCTCAAAACATCACAAAGAATGCCTCCAGTTATTGTTGATCCCGTTTTTGGGATCGCACAAAAATCAAGTCCAAAATCGGTGTCATGCTAAAGAAAAAAAAATCATTTCAATTTTTCAACAAAACCTATAAAACAAACCCATTGATTAAATTTGATGAAATGAATTGGATTTGGAAGATTTTTCACTGAAATTTGTGTAATTTAATAAATCTAGAGATTGAAGAGAGTTTTTAAACTATTGCAAAAAAAAGTTGAAGTTGATTTTTGGTCCGATTTTTGGTTCAAAAAGTTGTCCGGAAGTTGGAGTTGATTTTTCAATAAAAAACCCCCACCAGCTGATGCAAATCTCATCGCGAAAAGAAAAGCAATCGATCGTATGAGCATTGTTTTAAGTAAAATTTCAAATTAAACAATGAAACAATGAAAGAATTCGTTGCAGTGAGTGACTCTACCCTAATTTTCTTTCAAATTCTTTTGATTCATCAAATCTTCATCACACATCACATTGTCTTTCTGGTTTCTCGAGGGGATTTCAGTTTTCTTTCTTGTTTTCTTGGTTTTTTTGGATAAGAACAAACGGAACTCTGAAAATGATGGCGGAAAAGACTCAAAATCTATGTGAATGAGTGGAAAAATGGGGAAAAAGGTACGAAAATTGAATGATTAAAAGGAAAAGTGTGCTGAAGATGAAAGAGATCAATGAAAAGATCATTAGAGAAAGATCATTAGAAAGAAGATCATTAGAAGAAAGATCAATGAAAAGATCATTAGAGAATGGGTCAATGGAAAGATCATTAGAGAAAGATCATTAGAGAGAGATCATTAGAAAGAAGATCATTAGAGAGAGATCATTAGAAAGAAGATCATTAGAAGAAAGATCAATGAAAAGATCATTAGAGGATGGGTCAATGGAAAGATCATTAGAGAAAGATCATTAGAAAGAAGATCATTAGAAGAAAGATCAATGGAAAGATCATTAGAGAAAAGATCAATGAAAAGATCATTAGAAGAAAGATCATTAGAGAGAGATCATTAGAAAGAAGATCATTAGAGAGAGATCATTGGAAAGAAGATCATTAGAAGAAAGATCAATGAAAAGATCATTAGAGAATGGATCAATGAAAAGATCATTAGAAAAAAGATCATTAGAGAAAAGATCAATGACATCAAATCCAAGCACAGTCTAGGAAATTAACGATCATTCAATTGAAACGGTCGATCGATCCAGATGATAAAGAAATCACGAATTGTTACGAGAAACACAACAATGTGATCTCCTCCGAAGAAGTAATGTTTTTTTTTGATTGAAAAGACATTGAAGGGTTATTCATCTATACGAATGTTGAGAGATTTAATTCAAAAGGAAAACATTGTGTTTCACGTAACAATTCCAAGTTTCTTTGTCAATATTCGGGATGAATCGTGATCTGATCATTCGAAAGTCTGACTATGAGATGTCTGAACAAAGTTATGAACCTTCAAAATGTCACTACTCATTTAAAAAGTCTCTTTTAACAGATTAGAAAATGACAAACTATTTTTAACAAATAATTTAACTCTATTTTTTATTTAAATATGCAAATATTTAAATGCAAATTATGAAAAGCTGAATTGATGTAGAAATGTAACTCTGAAATTGAAAAGTGCTTGGAAGTGCTTGGAAGTGCTTGGATTTGATTTCATTGATCTTTTCTCTAATGATCCTTTCTCTAATGATCATTAGCTTTTGCGAGAAAGCTCAGTTGAAACTAGGAAAGATCAAGAACGTATGCGCCGCGAGGACTCGAACCCGCAACCTCTCACTTATTCACCAACTGTGCTAACCACTATGATCTTTTCTCTAATAATCTTTTCTCCAATGATCTCTTCTCCAATGATCTCTTCTCCAATGATCTCTTCTCCAATGATCTCTTCTCCAATGATCTCTTCTCCAATGATCTCTTCTCCAATGATCTCTTCTCCAATGATCTCTTCTCCAATGATCTCTTCTCCAATGATCTCTTCTCCAATGATCTCTTCTCCAATGATCTCTTCTCCAATGATCTCTTCTCCAATGATCTCTTCTCTAATGATCTCTTCTCTAATGATCTCTTCTCTAATGATCTCTTCTCTAATGATCTCTTCTCTAATGATCTCTTCTCTAATGATCCTTTCTCCAATGATCTCTTCTCCAATGATCTCTTCTCCAATGATCTCTTCTCCAATGATCTCTTCTCCAATGATCTCTTCTCCAATGATCTCTTCTCCAATGATCTCTTCTCTAATGATCCTTTCTCCAATGATCTCTTCTCCAATGATCTCTTCTCCAATGATCTCTTCTCCAATGATCTCTTCTCCAATGATCTCTTCTCCAATGATCTCTTCTCTAATGATCCTTTCTCCAATGATCTCTTCTCCAATGATCTCTTCTCCAATGATCTCTTCTCCAATGATCTCTTCTCCAATGATCTCTTCTCCAATGATCTCTTTTCCAATGATCTCTTCTCCAATGATCTCTTCTCTAATGATCCTTTCTCTAATAATCTTTTCTCTAAAGAAATTGAAATCAAATGTATAAGAAGATAAAACGCAAGCTTTTTAATGAAAGATTAAAAAAAAACCCTGAACATCATCTTAGCAAAGTATTCAATCTAAAATAAACATATGAAAATACACTGGTGGTCATATGTATTAGTACCCTCTTGCAAAAAATCTTCTCTCAACGATTGCCCCTCTTAAAAGGCAGCCAAATTCAAAGTGCTAAAAAGCACTTTTTGCTAACAAGCTCTAGTCTCTAAAACCACAAAAAAATTGATTCGAAATGTTTATTATCTTTTTAAAAAATAGCAAGGACGGAAAAGACACCTCAAAAATGGTGGACAAAAGTATTGACACCTTGCAAAAACAACAGTAAATTTAATAGTCTATTGGCCCTCCTTTGGCTTGAATGACTTTTTCTATCCGTCTGGGCATCGAGTCGACCAAATTGTGCAAAACTGATGATCCAATTTGATTCCATACAAGACGTAGATAGAGCCAAAGCTCGCCTTGGGCGAAAAGTGTTTCTCCTTCAATTTCGCTTTCACAATCGACCATAGATTCTCGATAACGTTCAAATCTGGTGAAAAGGGAGATGCTTTAATCAAAGAAACACCATTAATCGCAAACCAGCCCGGAAATCGTACCCGTCTTCCATTCGAGAGTCTTCCGACAGGTCCCATAATAAGTTTGCTTGTGTGAACTGGCGAGTTGTCCTGGTAGTACAACCATCCTTGAGGTAATGTTTTGCTCGCAAATGGAAGTAAACGTTGCTCAAGTATTCCCATGTATCGCTGAGACTTCATGGTTGAATTGATCATCTCAAGTGGACCGACCACATTTCTTGTCATCGCTCCTGCAAGTTGACAGTTATACGAAGAAAACTATAGAAATTCATACCCCAGCACATAATATTTCCACCCCCAAATCGAACCGTGGGTTTGATGTACTTGAGTAATAACCGCTTTCCAATCGGTCGCCTGATCAATGGAGGTCCATCCGACTGATAGAGATTAACTTTTGTCTCATCAGAGAAAATTACTCGGTTCCAATCGTCACTCGTCCAACTTTGGTACCTCCGAGCAAAGGCTAAACGAAGTTTCCGAATCCGAGGAGTCATACGTGGCTTCTTTATTGGTCGTCTAGCGTACAACTTTGCTTTGATGAGTCGCCTCCTCACGGTCCTTGCTGAGATATCTGTGCTGAATTGTGATTTATACAGGCGGCTTTTGTCGGTCGAGGTGAGACTTGGGTCCTTTTTGAATTCCCCTATGATCGATCGATTCTCGGCAGTTGTTGTTGATGGATGTCGACCAGATTTTGCAGCTCTGTGTAGAGAACCGATAATCTTTGATTGTTTAAAAAGTCGTTTCACCGTGCTCTCGCTGCATCCAAATTGTTCAGCCAAATCTGCTGTTTTCATTCCATTTCTTCGACCTTCAACGATCTTTTCTTTGATTGGAGTCAGTAGATACGGCATCTAAAATTAAATATTTTAGAAAGTCATCAAAACATGAATGTAAACAAGAAAAAAATAAAGGAAAAGCTAAGGTGTCAATACTTTTGTCCACCATTTTTGAGGTGTCTTTTCCGTCCTTGCTATTTTTTAAAAAGATAATAAACATTTCGAATCAATTTTTTTTTGTGGTTTTAGAGACTAGAGCTTGTTAGCAAAAAATGCTTTTTAGCACTTTGAATTTGGCAGCGTTTTAAGGGGGGCAATCGTTAAGAGAAGATTTTTTGCAAGAGGGTACTAATACATATGACCACCAGTGTAAATGCCAATAATGAAAATGAAAGTGATACGAGTGAGAGACGTCAATCCTTCTTATGCCTGCTTTTCCTTCCACCCACTCTTCAATCAGGTCATCTATTTTCAGATTCATTCTTTTTCATTCTTTTTCTTCCCAAAACCCCACGATCATCATCATTGAGCTGTTGATGGCGCAATCAAACACATTTCTTCCATTTTAGAATTCGAAAAGAAGAAAACCTTATTCTAGAGAGTGTAAACGATAGTTGTATCCATTTTTTGAAAAGGTTTTCTTTTACAAAAAGACAAGAAGAAACGCGATTTTGAGAGACGAGATGGAGGAGAGGGTTGAAGCAGAGTCAGAGTCAGTCCAATCGTCAGACTCCCATCGTCTTTCCCCTCTAAGCAGAGTGGAGGGGAAAGACGATCCTCTCCTCTCTTCTCTTCAACCTTTCACTTTCTGATTATCAAGCGACTCGTTTATAAGAAGAATGCTCGACTTTCATTGTGGCATTGTGGCATTTTACATTTTACATTTTTGCGAGCTTTCATCGTTTCTAATGACTCTTAAAGGCGATACCGTAAGATCTTGTGATTCTAACTATAAACTTTTAGAATTGCAATCTTCTACAAGATCCAAATTTGTACTTGTACTAGAATTTTCTTTCATTTTTGGTTATAAACCGTGTCGAGTTTGATCTGGATTGATCTTGTTGAATGTGGACCTTGTAGAAGATCTTCTACCAGATCTTCTACCAGATCTTTTACAAGACCTTCTACAAGATCTTTTACAAGGTCTTCTACCAGATCTTCTACCAGATCTTTTACAAGACCTTCTACAAAATCTTCTACAAAATCTTCTATAAGCCCAATATTTGCAGAGTTTGTTCCCTTGAACCTTTGATCTTGATATCTTGCTCAGTATCTTGATCTAAGAAGATGTTGACATGTTTTTACATGTTTTTACAGATTCTTGCTTTAAAATGATCAAGGATTATTTCTCACTTAGTTCTGGAAGTTCTGAAAGTTCTGAAAGTTCTAGAAGTGCCAGACCAGCTAAGCATTTCTTCCTGCTTAGATT